TCTTCCTTGTGTCAGGATCCTGAACTCGACCATCTCGTGGTCACTGCCTTCCAGGTTCCCATCCACTTTTGCTTCCCCTACTAATTCTTCCCGGTTTGTGAGCAGCAGGTCTAGAAGAGCTCTGCGCCTAGTTGGTTCCTCCAGCACTTGCACCAGGAAATTGTCCCCTACACTTTCCAAAAACTTCCTGGATTGTCTGTGCACCGCTGTATTGCTCTCCCAGCAGATATCAGGGTGATTAAAGTCCCCCATGAGAACCAGGGCCTGCGATCTAGTAACTTCTGCTAGTTGCCAGAAGAAAGAATCGTCCACCTCATCTCCCTGGTCTGGTGGTCTGTAGCAGACTCCCACCACTACATCACCCTTGTTGCTCACGCTTCTAATCTTAATCCAGAGACTCTCAGGTTTTTCTGCAGTTTCATACCGGAGCTCTGAGCAGTCCATACTCCTCTCTTACATACAATGCAACTCTCCCACCTTTTCTGCCCTGCCTGTCCTTCCTGAACAGTTTATATCCATCCATGACAGTACTCCAGTCATGTGAGTTATCCCACCAAGTCTCTGTTATTCCAATAACATCATAGTTCCTTGACTGTGCCAGGACTTCCAGTTCTCCCTGCTTGTTTCCCAGGCTTCTTGCATTTGTGTATAGGCACTTTAGATAACTCGCTTCCTCTGTAGAAATAAGCCACTTAAAACAGCCTTAAAAATTACACTTTGGCGTCAGCCATCATATGTCTGCCAAAGACCAGCAATAAAGAAACAAGTTTGCTGTGTGCCTTTTTTATTAGTTTGAGTATCTGAGCTTAACGGCAACCCTCCCCTTTTAAACATGAGGTATATTTTCTTGTGATCCTGTGACCTTTAGTATGATGTGATGCAATGTAAACTGACACGCCACGCTTGAAATAATGTGAAATGATCACACGGTGTGACTCAAGTACCTCGATGTGGTGTAACATAGATAATGTAGTCGATACCTGCGTCAGCATGGTTCACTGACTAATAGAATTATGAGGGGATAGTTTGTCTTATCCCTATTCCAGCATGACCAATCAGTCTGTCTATGATATTTCTAGGCACCCATCACCGTAGTATCTGAGCATCAAGACAACACATGTATTGAAATTAGTTGTTTGTTAATGCTCATTTCTGTTTTTGACAATTTGGAACATTGGAGAAATTAAAATGTCCTTTAATTTTTGTTTTAAATCCAAACAGTATAAAAGTTGAAGCTATAATCCCTATGGGCCAGATTTCAATTGCCTTCCCAATGCTGCCTTCTTTACCCCTTAAGTAGTCCCTTTGAAGCCTATACAGCTACTCAAGGCATAAAGTACCTATGCATATCAGAAGTGAGTAAGGACATCCCAATCTCACCCTGAGGTGGTGGTGGTTATTATTAGTTGTTGTTATTATCTTTCTTTTTCTGCCAGCAACAGGGAGCTGCACACAGCTATAATTGAAGGTAGAGATTATGTGAAATGTGTTTTGAATAATATATGAATCAGTCAGACATATTTAATATGTATTTAAAAATAAAGATAAATACAACAGGTATTTCCTTAGAGCATCCCCTTTTGTGTTGAGGAGAGGAGATTTGGGAAATATAGCTCCTTGATAATCTTTGCGCAGTCTCTCTCTCAAATCATTACATAACAGAAGCAGAGTTTTCTTTCTGAGGTACTTGCTATGGTTCTTCTGACACCCCTCAAAACAATTCAGTAGAGTTCCTGAATATATGCTAGAATCATAGGTTACCCCCACCGGCTCTACGCTCTCCCAGCTGCCTGACCATGAGTGCCATGGATCCACTGAGACGCATCTTCCTCACATCTGATTGCTTCAGAGTATTATATCACAGTATTATAGCCCCTCTGCTCATTTCCAGCTTCGTTGTCACTCTTCTATGTGACTCCCTTTCTCCCACCCTCTCCAATTCTCCTGAGAGTTCATTGAGGAGGCAGTAGGGAGCCAGAACAAGATCGAGGGGTAATACCAGGAAGACTGATCACCTAACCTCATGTAAAATTTAAATGGTTAATTAAGTTAAGAATCCTTATCCTTAATTAGGGGATTGGCGCCTCTTAGGAGGCTTCAAATTAAATCCATACTTAGGTCACAATCAGTAGTGTAGTTGAGAGCAAACGTGTGTAAACAGAGTCTACCTCACTTCTCATTTGTGGAATACGGAGTTTAGGTTAGGTTAGGTTACCTTCTTTTCTTTTCTTTTTATTTGCTGATTCAACAAGAGCTCTCCAGGTTCTTGTGCAAGAGTAGTGGCCTGTGCAGATCCCTATTGACATGTAGATTGTGTTGTAGCATTAGGACCTATTCCAGAAATTTTACAGCTGGAGAGATCAATCTCCTTTTAAGGTCAATGAAAAGTCTCTCTGACTTCAAATGGAGTCTGATTGGGCCTTGTGACATCTAGCAAGGAACCAATATTTATGATACTGAATAACAACATTTAAAAAAACCAACAATAACTGGTTGACGAAAGCACGAAATAAGATAAATTATTTTTGAGAGAAAAAAATCAGAGTTTGCTTTATGCTGTGTACAGTTATTCTAAAGATAATATCAAATCACTCAGAAACATGATCTGTGATGGTAATGAATTTATGTTATAATACAAACTGTGTGTATATATATATAATAAACAACGTTGATACTACTTTTTGAAATACTGTTTTATGTTTAATTATGACACAATGCTGTGATCCCACAAGAAATTCCTATTAACATATCATAAGAATTTAAGAAGCTCAGAAATTGTCTGAATAATTGTAAAAATATGAGTCCTTTACAATGTTTTAAAAAGTCCAGGTAGATCACAATGGGAGTTTGCCCTAATCAGTAGTTTTAAAATACCTTTGTGGCCTGATTTAGTAATTACTGTTCTTTACAGTTGTGAGAAACACGAGCCGTATTTGGTGTTTCCTATCAGCTATATTTAACATAACTCCTAGAAAACAGTAGAAGGAATTGTGGGTAACAACGAGTCCAACAATATATTGATAGATTTTTAACTCAGACACAAACTATGAAATCAGGACATTGTGTGGTTCAGATAAACATGCAAAATTCAGGTGCTTTTCCAGTTTCTATACAGGCTTATCCATCAAAGCTCTTAGGTAAGGTAATTGGACCAGAAATCTTGTGATAACTTTTTTGTGAGTTTTTTTCCTTTATACTTTCAAGTTGACCTTAGGTCAGAAGTGCCACCTGCATTGTCTCCCTGACACAATTTAAATTCTGCTGCCAATTTTAGTCTAGGAGGCACAGAAGCCTGAAAGCAGAAGACGGGAGATGAAAAGTTAACTGAACTTTTTAAACTCTTCTGAAAGGTCTAATAGTCAATGTTTGGCTGAAGGTTTGGGTTGCTTTTTATTTTCATTGAACCAGTTCACCTATATCTCTTAGCAATGCTCACCTTTAGCTCCATGCATAATAAAGGTTAAAAAAAATATGGAGAAGGTTAGGTAATAGGAAGAAGGAGGGCCGGGGGGAATGAAAGGATTAACAGAAGATAATAGCAAGGAGGGTATAATAAATACAACCCTAGCTAGGTTTTCATCCACACTCTCCCTCCCTAAATTACTGTAGAATATTAAAAGGCTACAGCATTATTTGCATTTCATATCAGGATATTTTGCTAAAATATCTTCACTCTTGTACACCAGTTTAGGACATTTTTAGTTTTCATTTCAGGGGAAGGAGGCAGAAGGGAAACCACATATTTATTTCTGAGAAGTTCAGAGCCCATTTGCCCTGAGCTCCACTCAGCCATTTCTGAGTAGCTAAACATACAAGCGCTCTTTCTGCAATAAACTTTGGCCTGGTCTACACTAGAAAATTAAGTCGATTTAACTACCTCACTCAGAGGTGTGAAAAATCCCCACCCCTAAGCAGCATAGTTAAACCAATCTAATCCCTCGTATAGACAGTGCTAGGTCAATGAAAGAATTCTCCTGTCGAACGAGCTATCACCTTTCAGGGAGGTGGATTACCTATACCTATGGGAGAATCCCTCCCATCAGTGTAGTTAGTGTCTACACTGAAGTGGTGCAGCTGTGACGCTTTAGCATTTTAAGTGTAGAGATGCCCTTAGTATGGGTGAAGAGGTCTGCCCATCTGTCCATGTGGAGTTCATTGCAGGATCAGGACCATAGCAAGAAGCACTTAACTCTTTCACTGCTGTATCGTGTACCAGGTACATGATACAAAATGCTCTTATGGTAATTGTTGAATGCTATGATAATGATGAAAATATCATAATAGTTGATGATGATAATAACATAAATAAGGCTACATCGAGTGGCAACTGTGTGCTTGGAACAGTACAAGACAAAAAATAAATAGAGACAGTGTCTATGTCAAGGATCTGATAATATGAAAAGTATTTTACAATACTGTGTGGCCAAAGAACCCCTTAGAAATGCCAGTATTTCAATGAACTCTTTCAGTACAAAGGGGTTTCATTACACAGTGGGTTAACAGTACCCAATTGTCATGCAGGATTTTATCAGACCCTGTAAATACCTATGAACCTACAGCTCACATTATTTTAAATATTGCATTTAAAAATGGTTTCAGAATAAAATGTTTCTTAAAGATAATGTCTACATCAAATTATGTAAACCATACACACAAGAATAATAATTTCTAATTTTAATAGAAGTATGTTTGGGCCTGGGGGATGGGCCTGTTCACAATCAATTGCAGAACTGGGGCCGATGTGAAATTCAAATCTGTCAGCTGGTTATGTTTATGTTCTCTCTAGTGAAAGTCCAACAGTCAGTGTGAAGATAGCAGTATAAGAGATTGTATAATTGTAGAATAAATCTTTTGGCTTCTTTTCCCAGTAAAAGAGTTGTTGTTGGTCATTTCTAGGGTGAATGATATACCAGATGCACCTCTCTCTAATACTTTTCTTTATATTTGTAATATTAAGATACTGTACAATACCTGTCATATTTTTGTTCCATGTAACACAGATGACAACACGCTGCATGGGCCAGTTTTCATTCAGGAACCAAACAATGTGATTTTTCCACTGGATTCTGAGGAAAAGAAAGTGAAGTTGAGCTGTGAAGTAAAGGGAAATCCTAAACCAACTATCAGGTTTGTTACATATTTTTCTATTCTTTAGCATGCCCTCTCCATGATTATGTCTCTCCAAGACACATGTATGCATGCATCCCACACAGAGAAGCTCTTTCAGAATTTGGGATGTGATGTATCTTTATTTGCTGGTATGTTTCAATTTTGAATTGATACAATAGTTTACCCTTGCTTAGCACTTTTAAAATCCATGAAACACACCAAACACAATAATTTAGTTAATTTGAATCCTATTCATATATTGCTAAGGCTTCCTAAGAGTTGCTTTGACACATTAAATGAGACATTTGGGATGAAAATCTTTATTGCAATACATTGAATCTACCTAAAATCCCCTGAACTGTAATACGTTTAAAAATCTGGTCCTTACGCCCTCTTTTTTCCACAAAAATGGCACAGTAGCGCTGAGTGCAAATAAGCAGTGTGATGTCGAACTTTCTGTGCACAGTCATGATAATTTCACCGCAGATTATCTGCACGCAGAACTGAAAATCTGTCCCTTAAACTCTATGTGTTTAACTATCTTAAAAATCTGTACAATTTCAATAATGCTACTTACAGTTCCTACCTTTATAAAGTGCTTTGAGAACCTTGGATGAAAGAAGCTATATATATGAAAATATGCCATCATAGTGATGCTGTTATTATTACATAGAATTAATCTGGTTGTTTTAACCAATTTAACCTGGTGTCTCCCTTCTTATTTTTCCCCCCATTTTGCTCTCTAGTGTAAATGCCACTTTGAAACCGATTAAAATCATAAGACCCCAATCCTGTTGCTGTCTTCTGGCAATACTTAGCATTTAATGCAGTAGAATATGTTGATTCACTCATGCAAATATATTCAAATTCCTTCCCCATAGGTTCCAATACAGGGAACTGCTCTGAGGATCTAATCCTTTATATGTTCCATCATGGGCTGCTAGAGATGGCAGTTGTAATTGGGGGAATGTTTTGTTAGAAAATCTTGATGCCCCAGTTTGTTAAAACATCTGCTGTGAGTGAGTTTTCTTAAATTTAAAAGCAAACAAACAACTAAGGCAGAAAAGGAAAAGAAGCCACTATGGAATTGAGTGGTTCAAAAATTCTGTTTCTGGGGCTTCCCCTTGCAAAATGATTAATTTCAAAGACTAACAACATCAGTAACAACAGCCAAAACAATAAGAACATTAATCAAATCAGTGACTGAAATATATGTTAAGGATGTTGCTCTGTAAGTGAAATATTAGAACGTTTCGATGCTGTGCAGGAAACATGCATTTTCAAGCTGGGTTTAAAAATAAGAAATCAAATGGGTTTGAATGTTTTCTGTATTTACTGCATGTTGCTTTAGAAACGTACAGAAATATTGGTTAATGTTAGCAGAATTCAACTCCTGGAATTTTTATACTATAGGTGGAAGTTAAATGGAACCAGTGTTGACGTCGGTATGGATTACCGCTACAGTGTAGTGGGAGGCAGCTTGTTGATCAATAACCCCAATAAAACCCAAGATATTGGAATGTACCAGTGCATAGCAACAAACTCATTTGGAACCATTGTTAGCAGAGAGGCAAAACTTCAGTTTGCTTGTAAGTAGCAATTATAACCCTTAGCAAATACTGAATTCTTGCGATATAATGCTGGAAAAATGGTAAGATGATGGCTGTCTTTTTTTTTTAAAACCTCATCTAATTTGTTATTCATTATTCTTTGCCGAGTTCCTTGTTTTGTTTAGAAATTATCTTGACTAAATCTGAGTGAGGATTGGAAATGTTCTATTTTGTGACTATTTAACTAAATGGGCGTACAGCACATAATGTGTATATTTGCCTATCTATGAGAGACAGTGGAAGTGCGAGTACGTGGCTGTAGGAAACATACTACTAACACTTTTTACAAGTGAATAATAGAAATGCTCAAATGTGATTTTTCCCTCCAATGGAAAACAAAGATTTTAGAGCTTCAAAAGTGCCCAAAGGGACATGCCCTTCAGAAGCAGCAGTTCCATAATGGTAATTTTTATCACTCCTGTGATACAAGATCCAGTGGGAGGTACATCTCTGACAGAGTTTTTAAGTGCTGATGTAACCCACACACCTCCTGGGTGTGGTGTTCTGTCCCACTTGTAACACCGACAGACCCCGGACCGCTGGATCTAAATGAAGGAGCCTCTACTGCATGAGCTAAAAGCCACATGGCCCTTCGCTAAGGCTGTAGAGCAGACTCATTAAGTGGCCTCGGTGCCACTACATAGGATAGAACACCACACCAAGGAGGTGTGTGGGTTACACTGACACTGTGTGTGGGTGTATATATACACAATATTGAAATGAATGTAAAGATGGTGTACAATACTAAGTTCTTTATATGTGCGGTTTAGGTATCATGTAGATTGATTTATTTGATCATTTTAGAAACACCAAAGTTCTTGTTTTTTTTAAAGGCTGCTTTATAATATTTATTTAAAGCCTATTCAGCACTTTCGACACACCTTCATGAATGAGGAGAGCTAAACAGGTTTTTATGGGCTTGAACCTGCATCCTTTGAAGCCAGTAAGAATTCTGCATTTGACTTCATAGAGTGCAGGTTGAGGGTCCTTTAAAAGGAAGACCATGGATTATAAAGAGCCATGGCCAGCCCCCTTGGCCAGCTGGCATAATAGCAGTGAGGGCAAGTCCCTCCTCCTTCATACCTGTAAGCTCTGAAGGTATGTCTACACAGCAACTAGACACATGCAGCTGGCCCATGCCAGCCAACTTGAGCTTGAGGGGCTGTTTCGTTGCTGTGTAGGCTTCCCGGCTTGGGCTCAGGCCCAGGCTCTAGGACCCTGCGAAGTGGAAGGCTACCAGAGCTCGAGCTCCAGCCCGAAAGTCTACCCAGCAATGAAACAGCCCTGCAGCCCAAGCCTTGCGAGTCCAAGTCAGCTGTCATGGGCCAGCAGTGGGGCCTTGCTACTTTCTGTGTCTACTTGCTGTGTAGACGTACCCTGAGAAGCCTCGTGCTGTGAAAGGTGCAAGCCATACCTTAACAATAATTTTCTTCATGTGTTTTTTTTGGTCAGATCTTAGTATTTCTTAAGCATAATTTTCATGTTAAGGGAAAGCTAGACTTTTAATATAATGCAATATGTTTAATGGACTGGCTAATATCTACAATTAATGTGATCCTATTACGCAAGTAAAAGGGGTAAGATGCCAAATTTATGCCAGATGCGCTGTACTCAAAAAGGTGATTTGTAATGAGAAATAGAAGTGTGGGAAGCTAAAGTCTTCCCTCTCCCAGAGTAGTTCACAACATATTATCAGTTTTTCTTATGATCTGCTTGTGTTTTTCCATGACTGAAGATGCTCTTTCACTGTAGAGCGCTAATGAACTGCTTCCTCAAAACTCATCTAATAACGTTAGATTTCAGAATGTCAGGGGGATTGTTTCATAAATATTGTTTTGGGCCTGCTTCTCTGCATATCACATGCTTCACAGCATCCCAAATCTTACAAATCAAGGACTTTGAATATCCATCAGGCTAAGCCTTTGCAATGTCATTATTCATAGCTAAGCACTTGAAAACAGCTTGTGCTGTAATCATATCATTTATGAAAGTCAATAATGATCTCAACATCTAGCTACCTAGAGGGTGAGAGCAGGTGTACTAAGTTAAGGGTTCAGTGATATAAGGCAAGGTCCTGCTCCCATTCAAGTAGTCAGTGGGAGTCTGACAATTGATCTTGATGGGAGCAGGTTATGCCACTTTATTCAGTAAGCCATTTTGAATCAATTGACCATTAGCTGGTAATCACAAAAACAATGCTGTGTTTAAAAAAAAACAACCAATCGTAACATTTCATATTTATTTTCAAACATGGAATCTTAATGTCTATTACATTTATAATTAATTGATTTATCTTTCTTGACAATAATAAATCTGGACTGTACTTGGAGTTTTGATAGATGACCAAGCATAAGATAGGCTTGACTGATTCTTAATTAAGAAGGTTGCTTTAAGAAGCGAATTTTGTTTCTTAGCACTTAAGATGGTGATGGATGAGTGTTTGGATAAATAAATTGCTCAAATTTAGATCAATTAGATTTTAATAATGTTAGGAACACTTGGATTGGCGATGGGGAGAATAACAAGCATTTGTTAAGTCTGACTCCGCTCTTCAGCAAAACAGTAAGTCATTCCGAGTTATATGATCAAAGAGATTGCAACCAGAACTGGCTGAATTCTGAAATACCCACTGTAGTTTTAATTTTATTACACAAAGTCTGCCTCTGAGAAGTGTGAATCTGTTTTAATAATGCATGTTTTTTAACACTGACATTCCAAGATATGTGGATGTACCAGTGCAATTTAATACAATGAAATCAACAATAAGAGGCACTTGTTGCAGGAACTGGAAGTCCTAGCTAATTCAGAGCACGTAACCTCTTTCCCTTATACTTTTTTCTGACATTATCATTTTTGAATTGCCCTCTGTAGGTTTTTTATGGAATAATCTAAAAATATTTCCTAGCAAGAATCCATTCTAGCAGCTTGAAGTGTCTCAGTAAGGTCCATTTGCCCTCAATTCCTCTCTCTGGATTTTTTCCTTTTACCAGGGTCATTTACCCTGAATTTAACCCTTTTGTCTGGCATTTGGAGACCTAGAAATTTGCTATTATTGCACTTGCAATCTCTGACCTACCTGCAGCTCCAGCAATTCAACTGTGTTCTCTCAAGCATTGTTACCATTACGTGTTATGACATTTTTAGCTGTGGAAAGCCATTTTGTTATAGAGTCCAAGACTCAGTTGTTTTACCAGCCAGCACCTTTCACTGCTTTGCCTTTAAAATGAACAATCCATTTTTCTCCGGGCTGCTCTGTATTTATTCTGTTTGTTATCTCGTTCTTATTTGTGAGCTAAGTTATTGCCAGCCCTTTTGAGACTAATACTCGCTTTTAAGTGCAAGGGTTAAATTCTGAATCCAGGGGCATCATTAAAAGATGTTCATTCTTATTTCAAGGGCTAAATTATTCTTCTCTAGCCTTTTCACTGCAGATTAAACTCTGAAGTAGTTATTCAGCCTCCTGTGGAGGTCAGAAAGGGTCAGCAATTTATCCCTGAAATATGTATTTAGGTTACAAACTAATTATGATGAAAGTGCTAATATATGCCCCCAAATACTTGCTTTGTTATACATCATTAACATTTCAAATTTGTTCCTTTTTTTCTTGACATGCTAGTTGTCTCTTAAATTGAACACATTTTCGAAAAGTAAGGAGTCTGCTACACCACACTAATGGAATATGGATTAATGATTCTTTAAACCCTGTGCTTGTAGCAGTACAGATTCACAAAGGGGGAAAAAAGCCTTAAACTCTTAATATGAGACCCAACAATTGCTTTTCAAAATGATATATGAAAACACACTTAAGCTAAATTAAATTGTGTGTTTTCTCTTTTGTGGAGGAGGGATAGTTTGACAATTTTATTTGCTGTAATGTAACTTGTGTTCAGAAATAAAGGGCCTGAAGTTGATAGGGAGTCTTGCCTAGGTAAGAAATGCAGCCCCTGTGCTGTAGTTTTAAATGTATTCACCTATTCAAAGATAACATTAAAAATTCTAACTATGGCCCCAGTCGTGCTTCCATTGAAGTTAATGGTAAAACTTCTGTTGACTTCAGTGGAGTCGGATCAGGCCCTGATAGCACATCACTGCATCACAAAGTGCTTGATCCTTGAAGGTATTGAGGATGGATTACACCTGAAATTCTTAACTACACAAGTATCGTGCCTGATCCAACTCCCAATGACAGCAATAGAAGTCTCTCCACTGATTTTATGGAGAGTCAGATCAAGACCATATGGCCTAGTTTGGGAGTGAGCCCTTTAAGTATGTGTGAAGGGGGAACACTGTTCAGAATGTTCATGGAGTCAGTAGGACCAATCTACAGTTGAGCATATATTTGGAGGGAGAGGGGGTGTCTCAAGACAGGAGCTTAAAGAAGTCCTTGGGAAAGATGTGCTTCCCTCATGTGTACGTCACAAGATATGTCTATTAATTTTTAAATCCAGCCACATTCAGAAGTTTATTTGTAAACTGATCATCTACTTTCTGCTTTAGAGTGCCATAGTGTGTGTGTGTGTGTGTGTGTGAATTTTCATTTAAACTAAGGCTCCTTTCAAGGAAGCTCTGCTTGGGGAAAAAGTACAGGGAACTTTGAAGCTTGCCTCCCCCATGTAAAGTTTATGGTGAAAAAGGGGTGTGCCCATCGCCACATACACCAAAGAAATTCCACTTAAAGAAACACAGTTATACCTATGCCTTGACACTGAAAACCCTTTTTTGATGGGTAATAAGGAGCACAAGGCTGTACTCCAGTGCACATGGGAGCAGAAGTTACAAATGGGCACAAGTAACATTGAATACAGGGGGCCTGATCCTGCACAACACAGGTGCAAAGTGTTGTACATATAAATGTAAAGTAATAGGTAATGGGCTTGGACAGGAAGGGTACACAGAGAATGGGATCCTAGCATTGTGGCATGGCTGCCAAATAATTCCTATATACTAGCAAGAGTAAGAGGGAAGTATTTAACAAAACG